TGGGTATGGTTACTGTATTGATCAAATTGTTGCTTTTGAGTTTAAACACAGATTCTTAGTCATTTGTGAGTAAGAAATTCAATTTCTGTACCTGTCTCTTCTACTGTATTGGGCCTGTCAATTTTTTGTCCTAATCATCCATTCACTGTGGTATTTAGGCTAATATTTATATTAAAGGCCAAAGGAAATACTTCCAAGATGGTAATAAGCTTTGACTAGTAGGCTGGCTACACGTTAACACATAAGCCAGGTTTTCTCACAAGTTTATGTCTATAATTTATCAAGATCATTTCTGAATACTGTGGAGAACTGGCACGGCTTGTCAAAGACATTCCATTATTAGAAGGAAATAGTCATTTGTTTTCCTCATATCGTTGATAAGACAGTCCAGTCCTGTTTAGTTGACATTCTTCTTTTGAATTTCCTACATAAATTGCCTGGAGGCAATATGAATTGCTTCTATCCAGTCCCATTTCAATCTTACATGTCGTGTCTTTTCTGGAAGGACACAAAAATTGCGATAATAAACCTTGGAAAAATGAAAACAGAGGGGTTTTAGACCACGGAATGTCAAATTCCAGCCTAATCATAGATTAGATCTCTGGTTTGGTTAGAAATACAATCATCATATGATGGAATACCTCAGAGTGAACATTTGCAATTTGAACACAGTCACGTAAACTTCAGACAGAAAAGGTCTGTCTCCCAAATGGCACTCTATTCCCTATATAGTGCACTACTAATGACCAGGACCCACAGAGATCTGGTCAAAAGTAGTGCACTATGTAGAGAATATGGTGCCATTTGGGACACACTTTGGAAGTGGATATGGAGATAACTGGAATCCCACTGCACAGACAATTACTCCTTGGCAGAACATTTAATACACTGATGTAGCTAGCTTGTATATACACTACCGTTCAAACGTTTGGGGTCACTTAGAAATGTCCTTGTTTTCGAAAGAAAAGCATTTTTTTTGTCCATTAAAACAACATCAAATTGATCAGAAATACAGTGTAGACATTGTTAATGTTGTAAATGGCTATTGTAGCTGGAAACAGCAGATTTTTTATGGAATATCTACATAGGCATACAGAGGCCCATTATCAGCAACCATCAGTCCTGTGTTCCAATGGCACGTTGTGTTTGCTAATCCAAGTTTATCATTTTAAAAGGCTAATTGATCATTAGAAACCCCTTTTGCAATTATGTTAGCACAGCTGAAAACTGTTGTGCTGATTAAAGAAGCAACTGGCCTTCTTGAGACTAGTTGAGTATCTGGAGCATATGCAATTGTGGGTTCGTTTACAGGCTCAAAATGGCCAGAAACAAATAACTTTTTTCTGAAACTCGTCAGTCTATTCTTGTTCTGAGAAATGAAGGCTATTCCATGCGAGAAATTGCCAAGAAACTGAAGATGTCGTACAACGCTGTGTACTACTCCCTTCACAGAACAGCGCAAACTGGATCTAACCAGAATAGAAAGAGGAGTGGGAGGCCCCGGTGCAAAACTGAGCAAGAGGACAAATGCATTAGAGTGTCTAGTTTGAGAAACAGACGCCTCACAGGTCCTCAACTGGCAGCTTCATTAAATAGTACCCGCAAAACACCAGTCTCAACGTCAACAGTGAAGAGGCGACTCCGGGATGCTGACCTTCTAGGCAGAGTTGCAAAGAAAAAGCCATATCTCAGACTGGCCAATAAAAAGAAAATATTAAGATGGGCAAAAGAACACAGACACTGGACAGAAGAAGATTGGAAAAAAAGTGTTATGGACAGACAAATCAAAGTTTGAGGTGTTCGGATCACAAAGAAGAACATTTGTGAGACGCAGACCAAATGAAAAGATGCTGGAGGAGTGCTTGATGCCATCTGTCAAGCATGGTGGAGGCAATGTGATGGTCTGGGGGTGCTTTGGTGGTGGTAAAGTGGGAGATTTGTACAGGGTAAAAGGGATCTTGAAGAAGGAAGGCTATCACTCCATTTTGCAATGCCATGCCATACCGTGTGGACAGCGCTTGATTGGAGCCAATTTCCTCCTACAACAGGACAATGACCCAAAGCACAGCTCCAAACTATGCAATAACTATTTAGAAAGAAGCAGTCAGCTGGTATTCTGTCTATAATGGAGTGGCCAGCACAGTCACTGGAGCTCAACCCTATTGAGCTGTTGTGGGAGCAGCTTGACCGTATGGTACGTAAGAAGTGCCCATCAAGCCAATCCAACTTGTGGGAGGTGCTTCAGGAAGCATGGGGTGAAATCTCTTCAGATTACCTCAACAAATTGACAAGTAGAATGCCAAAGGTCTGCAAGGCTGTAATTGCTGCAAATGGAGGATTCATTGATGAAAGCAAAGTTATTGAAGATATTATTAATTATTATTTATATTAAAAATCATTATTTCTAACATTGTCAATGACTACGTTTCCTATGTGTTTTGCTATATTTCCTATTCAAACTCATTTAATGTATGTTTTCATGGAAAACAAGGAAATGTCTAAGTCACCCCAAGCATTTGAACGGTAGTGTATATATATATATATTTGTTTTTGGAATGGGAACAATAAGGTAGTTTTTTTTACCACAACACCCTCCCCCGTACAGGTCATGGGAAAGTTAGTAACATGGTCAGGTCTGCCACATCCCACAGTGAAGTACATATCTGCCGGGTACTTTATTTACACTGAATGTGGAATCCTTTCCATTACGTCACCAGCTCTTGACCTCTGACCCTAGCTAACTGCTGCCTGTCACTCCAACATAAGCACCCTGTCACTTATTCCAAATTGGACTTGCGGACAGTGGAATCTCTAAGTCATGATCCCATTGGATATACTGTACATACTGTACCTATACCTGTCCTCAAGGGGGTACAGACACTAAAGGGGAAAATTGCTGTGCTATTGTCTGCACCCAATGTGGAATGTTGAATTTGGAATACTTGCCATGCCTAAGCTTGAGTTTCAGACCCCTTTTAGCCACCATGGAAAACCAGAAAGCATGACATTAAAGGTTAACAAACCTGAAAGTATTTACCTATGCGCAATTGAGTGAGGAATGTCTTTGGGGAAAAGGTGTACACCAGCAGGCGCTGGCTGAGGAGAGAGAGAGAGAGAGAGAGAGAGAGAGAGAGAGAGAGAGAGAGAGAGAGAGAGAGAGAGAGAGAGAGAGAGAGAGAGAGAGATCCAGGACAACAGCCTAAGACAGGGAATCTGATGCTAATATACAGCTAAGTTTTACCTCACACAGAGTGGTTTATTAAACACTGCCCTGTGGAGGGGAGTTCAGGTCATCCAGACACCCAACAATTGAAAGCCACACCACACTGTTATTGGTCCAGGAAATCGAGCACACAGTCAAATACGGATTCGCGATAAGCTGCTACTATTTTGACACGACGGGGTTAAGGAACTGGCAACCTCTGCTTGGCCACGAATGAATCTCTGTTGACAGACAGGGTACATTACCATGCCACACACTGTCCAGAGAGAACTTTTTCAGACAGTACAGCCCCTGATGTGCTGCTGCAGTACTGTGTGCTCAGAGCACGTTGGAAAAAATGGGAAAGACAAGCTGCTAGTGAAGATTCCCATATAAGGCCACGCTTCCTCCCAGTCGGTGTGTGCATGCAGTAATAGTATGTCTGGGGCAGCCGCGCATTCCTCCAGCTCTAAGTTCTCTCTGGGAGTTTTTCATTTCCGATTCGGTGGCTGGTGAGGAGCAGGGCTGCCTTTCATAAGATTGAGGTGGAGAGTCTGGTGCTTGTGTGATCCTTTTATCAAAAATATACAAACCCTAGAGTCTAGCCACTTTCCTGCAATCCTCAAGTCTGCTCAGTGTCTAGAGCCTGATGGAGCAAAATACGATCCCACACCTGGAATGTGAAACACCTTTGCTTTAAAGTCCATGGACTAAACTTTATTATTGAGGTGAAAGCACATGGCTATAAAAAGGTATGTGATTGAAACCAACAAATATAACTTATGAGAAAGAGTCTGTAAACTAGACAATTTATACAAACTCCCATTTAAGGACTTGGTTGATTAAATCCCAATACCACTTACTTATTAGACTTATGAAGGATATTGCATAATCTAATATAATATACACTGAGTAAACAAAACAAAACATTAAGGACACCTGCTCTTCCATGACATAGACTGATCAGGTGAATCCAGGTGAAAGCTATGATCCCTTATTGATGTCACTTGTTATATCCACTTCAATCAGTGTAGATGAAGGGGGTGAGTCAGGTTAAAGAAGGACTTTTAAGCCTTGAGACAATTGAGACATGGATTGTGTATGTGTGCCATTCAGAGGGTGAATGGGCAAGACAAAATATTTAAAAACCTTTGAATGGGGTATGGTAGTAGGTGCCAGGCACACCAGTTTCTGTCAAGAAATTCAATATTAGGAAGGTGTTACTAATGTTTGGTATACTCAGTGTATATATAAAGGTTAAATAAAAAATTACAAATAAAAATGTTGTTTTCTTTCAAATAAAAAACACCCCTGAAGGTGTACAGGGGTTTTATAACGGTACCGTTTTGTAACGGTGACTAAATCCAGCCCTGAACTACACTACAGCTCATCCTTTCACAATAAAGTACACTTGTAAGAATAGGTATTGAAAGTATTTGAAGTCACTAGTGAAGAATCCATGTGTGATGAGCTAAGACAACAGTGAGGCAGCTATTCCCAATAACAGGGGAGGTTTACAGTCTCTCTACAGGATAGAACACAACCACCGATTACACATAAAAAGGAAAGTTGAGGGATAGTGCTAAGACTGCACTTTTATTTTGATATGTGACAGCACTTTGGTTTCAGACAGGAGGAATGCTGGATGTCGGGGGGTGGGGGGGAGTCTAGAGAGAGGGGGGCAGGAAACTAGGAAAGAATGCCAAGAATGTCCATGTTTGTCCAGGACTCCATTCAGCCATTTGCACGTCACGGCAGCCCTGGGTGTATAAATGCAGGGAGAGCTCCTAGCTTCAGACACAGAACAACTCCTGCTCCAAGAGAGAGCAACAGCTATACTACTGAAGCTAAACTCTAGCTTTAACCAAGAGAGCTACGAGAACTTAACAGAGAAAAGAACCAGAACGAGAAATTCCTTACAAGATCTACTCAATCCAACGGCAAGCTCCCTGACTACTCGCAAGAGACTAAGGAAGACTTTTGAAGAACCTAAAGACTTATTTTTGTCTAAGATACACAGAGAAAAACGAAGAAAAGCAAAATGTCTGCTGGAATGAACATGAGACTGATTTCTTTCTTCTGCCTCACTCTCTCCTACCTGGTAAGTCAAATACCATTTTACTGAGACTGTCAAGTAATATGGGAACTGTATTGCTGTGTCTATGCACCATTTCCAGAAAGACCGCAATAAGGTGTCAGCATGTCTAGTCCATTACTCCAGCAGTTGAAATGTAAATAGATATATTTTGTTAACACAGTTATATAAGGCTGTATATGCTCTAGCTCTTGGTGTACTGTAACATTAGTAGTTCTGACCATGTGCTCAGGGTCTAACAGAGCTCCTATCTCTTTGCCCCTCAGGCTGTGGCTCAGGAGTGCAGTGGGCAGTGTAGTTGTCCCGATGTGGCCCCCCAGTGCCCTCCTGGTGTGAGCCTGGTGCCCGACGCCTGCGCCTGCTGCAGGGTGTGTGCCAAACAGATGGGCGAGTTCTGCACAGAGAGGGACGTGTGCGACCCCCACAAAGGACTCTTCTGTGACTTTGGCTCCCCCATCAACCGCCGCATAGGAATCTGTACAGGTGAGTCCCTCTAAACAGGCTCCTTTGTAGTTCTAGTACAATGACTCTGATATTTTTCCTCTGCTGATGTTTGTGTGACTGGAGATGTGACGTTCTCTTCTTATCCTCCGCCTCCCACAGCTAAGGGTGGCGCCACCTGTGTGATCGGAGGGATGGTGTACAGGAGTGGAGAGTCCTTCCAAAGCAGCTGTAAATACCAGTGCACGTGCCTGGACGGTGCCGTGGGCTGTGTGCCCCTGTGCAGCATGGACATCCGCCTGCCCAGCCCTGACTGCCCCATGCCCCGCCGCGTCAAAGTGTCCGGGAAGTGCTGCGAGGAGTGGGTGTGCGATGCCCCCCAACACACAAACAGCTTTGTGGGCTCTGTTCTCGCTGGTGAGTCTCAGTCTTAGACACTTGGACATAAAGCTACATTGTAGTGATATAATCTGGTCAGCTTTTGAATGTGGGGATAAAGAGTCTAACGCCACCTCTCCTTCTCTGCCTGCAGCTTACAGAGAGGAGGAGACCTACGGGCCTGACCCCTCCATGATGAGGGAGAATTGCCTGGTCCAGACCACTGAGTGGAGTGCCTGCTCTAAGACCTGCGGCCTGGGCATCTCTACCAGAGTCACCAATGACAACCGCGAGTGCCGCCTGGAGAAACAGTCCCGCCTGTGCATGGTCAGGCCCTGCGAGTCCCACATGGAGCAAAGCATTAGGGTAAACACATCCTTGAACCACTACCCAAATTAGCCTACCCATTCACTAGAATAGAAACACTTCCTCAAATCAAGAAGGAAGGAATGGTCACTAATGTTTGTCTTTCGATTTGCTTTGCTCTTACAGAAAGGAAAGAAATGCATCCGCACTCCAAGAGTGTCCAAGCCCATGAAGTTTGAGATCTCTGGCTGCACCACCACCAAGTCCTACCGCCCCAAGTTCTGCGGAGTGTGCACCGATGGTCGCTGCTGCACCCCCCACAGAACCACCACCCTGCCCATGGAGTTCAAATGCCCCGACGGTCAGGTCATGAAGAAGCAGATGATGTTCATCAAGACCTGTGCATGCCACTACAACTGCCCCAGCGAGAACGACATCTTTGAGTCCATGTACTACAAGAAGATGCTTGGAGACATGGCATAAACCATTACATCACCAAAGAGCAAAAAACAACCAATGAGTCTTAACTTGAATCCAACAGATATCCATCTCATCTCGCAGCACAAAATGTGTTTTTCTTTTGATTTGTTATTTTCTTATTTGACTATTTTGTATTTTGTACAAGGACAGAAATCTATATGCATATATTCAATGTATATATGTATGAGTGTATTGATGGATGTTTAGGGCCACTTGCCCTAAAGAGGGGGGAAAGACAGGGGGCTGCTCTGCGGCCCCAAGAAAAATACTGCACTATAGTTCTACTATGTGACAACCTATGTTGTTGTCACAAATTGGCTGATGCCATGTTCCCCTCCCCCTAAACTGAGGTGGGGATCCAACTAACTGGGCCGTTTCCAACCTCGGAGCACTTGCAGTAACGAAGAGTGAAGACTTTTAACCCCAGTAGGGAAACTGAAATCCTTTACCCACCAGAGTGCTAGTTGAATGTGGCCTTGTGTATAGTTCACTGTTTGCAGAGCCTAACTGATGCAGTGTTAATGACAGGTCATGGTTTATCCCATGCTGAAAAACAGCCGTCCTCCCAGACAAGGAGCGTAGTGTGCATGCTTTGAGGGTTTGCCACAGCACTGAGAAAAGAGGTGTTTGACTTTGACTGACTGATTCAGGTTGCAAGGAAGGAATCTGTATTTTGTCAAAAAAAAGACTGGATGCTTTGTAGCTTCATTCCTTTTTGAGATATTATTGATGCTGTAAATATTGTACATATTGTTGTACAGTTGTTAATTTAAAGTTGAAAAAAAACGTTTGTCTTTTGTTTTTCTCTTGCTTCAATATGTTTATTGATAGCTTATTTGCTGGGTTTGACTGTTCCTGTGACAGTTTTGTGTACTATTTTATTGAGAAGTGTGACAAAAAAGTTACATGTTTTTACTTTTGTAGTTTGGAATAAAATATTATATTTTTTATATAAAACATAATGCCTTCCTCCCTTCTTTTGCTCCACTCTTTCAGTGTGTTATTCCAGCTGAGATTTAAAAGGTAGCCTACCCTACAGAACTTTTCCCCTCATCATACCCAAATGATGTCCCAAACTTTGACATATGACTTCAACCACTAATAAGTTATAGCATTTTTACACAGCAGTTACGTGTTCACACATTCTGTTCAACAACAGCAGTCAGACCACTGAAATTCCACTCATTGGATTGTGTGTGGTCCAGGTCCATGCTTTGTCAGACCACCCAGTCTCTAAGCCTAAGGTGTAGTCTATGTTTCACTTTTTAGCCACAACACCAGCAGCAGACTGCCGGCTCATCCGACATGTTTTTCTAAAGTTCTCTATTCTCTGCCCTGTGATGCATGGAGGGAGCAGCAGGCTGCCTGTTCTGTTACACACTAACCAGACAGCAGACTGAGGAAACTGACTCTGGCAGTGTCTGAGGAAAGGAGCAGTCTCAGGCTGTGTCTACATAGGCAGACCAATTCTGATCTTTTGCCCAATTATTGGAAAAAGAGCTGATTTTCGTAACATTGCAAAAATCTGAAACCTTTTGTCCAAGGATTATGCAGAAAAGCTAATCCATGCTTTTAACACTTCTAGAATAGACTACTGCAATGCTCTACTCGATTAGACTACTGCAACGCTCTACTCGAATTAGACTACTGCAATGCTCTACTCGATTAGACTACTGCAATGCTCTACTCGAATTAGACTACTGCAATGCTCTACTCGATTAGACTACTGCAATGCTCTACTCGATTAGACTACTGCAATGCTCTACTCGAATTAGACTACTGCAATGCTCTACTCGATTAGACTACTGCAATGCTCTACTCGATTAGACTACTGCAATGCTCTACTCGAATTAGACTACTGCAATGCTCTACTCTCCTGCTACCCGGATGAAGTACTAAATAAACTTTAGTTAGGTGACAAGACGCAGGCCTCCTTATTGTCCCTAGAATTTCTAAGCAAACAGCTGGAGGCAGGGCTTTCTCCTATAGAGCTCAATATTTATGGAATGGTCTTTTTTATTTCACCTTTATTTAACCAGGTAAGCCAGTTGAGAACAAGTTCTCATTTACAACTGCGACATGGCCAAGATAAAGCAAAGCAGTGCGATAAAAACAACAACACAGAGTTACATATGGGGTAAAACAAAACATAAAGTCAAAAATACAACAGAAAATAGAAAATATATAAACAGTGTGTGCAAATGTAGCAAGTTATGGAGGTAAGGCAATAAATAGGCCTTAGTGCAAAATAATTACAATTAGTATTAACACTGGAATGATAGATGTGCAAGAGATGATGTTTAAATAGAGATACTGGGGTGCAAATGAGCAAAATAAATAACAATATGGGGATGAGGTAGTTGGGTGGGATAATTTCAGATGGGCTGTGTACAGGTGCAGTGATCGGTAAGGTGCTCTGACAACTGATGCTTAAAGTTAGTGAGGGAGATAAGAGTCTCCAGCTTCAGAGATTTTTGCCAGTCATTGGCAGCAGAGAACTGGAAGGAATGGCGGCAAAAGGAGGTGTTGGCTTTGGGGATGACCAGTGAGATATACCTGCTGGAGCGCATACTACGGGTGGGTGTTGCTATGGTGACCAATGAGCTAAGATAAGACAGGGATTTGCCTAGCAGTGATTTATAGATGGCCTGGAGCCAGTGGGTTTGGTGACGAATATGTAGTGAGGGCCAGCCAACAAGAGCGTACAGGTCACAGTGGTGGGTAGTGTATGGGGCTTTGGAGACAAAACGGATGGCACTGTGATAGACCATCCAATTTGCTGAGTAGAGTGTTGGAGGCTATTTTGTAAATGACATCGCCGAAGTCAAGGATCGGTAGGATAGTCAGTTTTACGAGGGCATGTTTGGCAGCATGAGTGAAGGAGGCTTTGTTGCGAAATAGGAAGCCGATTCTGAATTTAACTTTGGATTGGAGATGCTTAATGTGAGTCTGGAAGGAGAGTTTACGGTCTAACCAGACACCTAGGTATTTGTAGTTGTCCACATACTCTAGGTCAGACCCGTCGAGCGTAGTGATTCTAGTCGGGTGGGCGGGTGCCAGCAGCGTTCGATTGAAGAGAATGCATTTAGTTTTACTTGTGTTTAAGAGCAGTTGGAGGCTACGGAAGGAGTGTTGTATGGCATTGAAGCTCGTTTGGAGGTTTGTTAACACAGTGTCCAATGAAGGGCCAGATGTATACAAAATGGTGTCGTCTGCGTAGAGGTGGATCTGAGAATCACCAGCAACAAGAGAGACATCATTGATGTACACAGAGAAAAGAGACAGCCCGAGAATTGAACCCTGTGGCACCCCCATTGAGACTGCCATAGGTCCAGACAACAGGCCCTCCGATTTGACACATTGAACTCTATCTGAGAAGTAGTTGGTGAACCAGGCGAGGCAGTCATTTGAGAAACCAAGGCTATTTAGTCTGCCAATAAGAATGCGGTGGTTGACAGAGTCGAAAGCCTTGGCCAGGTCGATGAAGACGGCTGCACAGTACTGTCTATTATCGATCGTGGTTATAATATCGTTTAGGACCTTGAGCGTGGCTGAGGTGCACCCATGACCAGCTCGGAAACCGGATTGCATAGCGGAGAAGGTACGGTGTGATTCGAAATGGTTGGTGATCTGTTTGTTAACTTGGCTTTCAAAAACTTTCGAAAGGCAGGGCAGGATGGATATAGGTCTGTAACAGTTTGGATCTAGAATGTCACTTCCTTTGAAGAGGGGGATGACCGCGGCAGCTTTCCAATCTCTGGGGATCTCAGACGTTACGAAAGAGAGTTTGAACAGGCTAGTAATAGGGGTTGCAACAATTTCGGCGGCTAATTTTAGAAAGAAAGGGTCCAGATTGTCTAGCCCAGATGATTTGTAGGGGTACAGATTTTGCAGCACTTTCAGAACATCAGCTGTCTGAATTTGTGTGAAGGAGAAGCGGGAGGGGCATGGGCAAGTTGCAGCTGAGGGTGCAGAGCTGGTGACCGGGGTAGTGGTAGCCAGGTGGAAAGCATGGCCAGCCGTAGCAAAATGCTTGTTGAAATTCTCGATTATTGTAGATTTATCGGTGGTGATAGTGTTTCCTAGCCTCAGTGCAGTGGGCAGCTGGGAGGAGGTGCTCTTATTCTCCATGGACTTTACAGTGTCCCAAAACTTTTTGGAGTTAGTGCTACAGGATGCAAATTTCTGTTTGAAAAAGCTAGCCTTTGCTTTCCTAACTGCTTGTGTATATTGGTTCCTAACTTCCCTGAAAAGTTGCATATCGCGGGGGCTATTCGATGCTAATGCAGTACGCCACATGATGTTTTTGTGCTGGTCAAGGGCAGTCAAGTCTGAGGAGAACCAGGGGCTATATCTGTTCTTAGTTCTGCATTTTTTGAATGGGGCATGCTTATTTAAGATTGAGAGGAAAGCACTATCCATGTGAGAGATGCAGACTCAGTCTCGACCTTTAAGTCTTTACTGAAGACTCATCTCTTCAGTAGGTCCTATGATTGAGTGTAGTCTGGCCCAGGGGTGCGAAGGTGAACGGCAAGACACTGGAGTGATGAACCGCCCTTGCTGTCTTTGCCTGGCCAGCTCCCCTCTCTCCACTGGGATTCTCTGCCTCTGACCCTATTGCAGGGGCTGAGTCACTGGCTTACTAGTGCTTTTCCATGCCTTCCCTAGGAGTGGTGCGTCACGTCGTGCCAGGCTTTTTGCGCTGTACTCGACTTGAGTGGGTTGAGTCACTGACATGATCTTACTGTCCGGTTTTGCGCCCCCTCGGGCTCGTGCGGTGGAGGAGATCTTTGTGGGCTACACTCAGCCTTGTCTCAGGGTAGTAAGTTGGTGGTCTGTTGATATCCCTCTAGTGGTGTGGGGGCTGTGCTTTGGCAAAGTAGGTGGGGTTATATCCTGCCTGGTTGGCCCTGTCCGGGGGTATTGTCAGACAGGGCCACAGTGTCTCCCGACCCCCCCTGTCTACGGCCTCCAGTATCTATGCTGCAATAGTCTATGTGCCGGGGGGCTAGGGTCAGTCTGTCCTATCTGGTGAAATTCTCCTGTCTTATCTGGTTTTCTGTGTGAACTTAAGTATGCTCCCTCTAATTCTCCCATCTGTGTGAACTTAAGTATGCTCCCTCTAATTCTCCCATTCTCTCTCGCTCTCTCTCTCTCTCTCTCTCTCTCTCTCTCTCTCTCTCTCTCTCTCTCTCACTCTCTCGGAGGACCTGAACCCTAGGACCATGCCTCAGGACTACCTGGCCTGATGACTCCTGGCTGTCCCCAGTCCACCTGGTTGTGCTGCTGATACAGTTTCTGCTGTTTTACCTGTGGCTATGGAACCCTGACCTGTTCACCGGACGTGCTACCTTGTCCCGGACCTGCTGTTTTCGACCCTCTCTCTCTCTTTCTCTCTCTCTCTCTCCCTCCCTCTCTCTCTCTCTCTCTCTCTCTCTCTCTCTCTCTCTCTCTCTCTCTCTCTACTGCACCTGCTGTCTCAACCTATGAAAGCCAACTGACATTTACTCCTGAGGTGCTGACCTTTTGCACCCTCTATTTGACACTGCTGGTCATCTATGAACGTTTGATCATCTTGAAGAACGATCTGGCCATGTACTCTTATAATCTCCATCCAGCACAGCCAGAAGAGGACTGGCCAGCCTGGTTCCTCTCTAGGTTTCTTCCTAGGTTCCTGCCTTTCTAGGGAGTTTTTCCTAGCCACCGTGCTTCTACTTCTGCATTGCTTGCTGTTTGGGGTTTTAGGCTGGGTTTCTGTATAAGCACTTTGTGACATCTACTGATGTAAAAAGGGCTTTATAAATCAATTTGATTTGATTTGATTAATTAGTGGAAAAATATCAGAATTGGTCTGCCTGTGTAAAAGCAGCCTTACTGGCAGCCTTCCCACTGGGCACAAACTGGTTAAATCAGCGTTGTTTCAACATAATTTATCTACGTATTGTGATGTGGAATCTATGTG